GGGCCCACGTCCGGGCCGGCTGGCCACGGTACCAGCCTTGCGAGGCAAACCTCCTCGCACGTACGTAGAAAGATCTCAAGAGAGAGCAGAGTGAGGACATACGCTTGCCTTTTAGTGAAAAACCAGAACAGACATTTCAGATCTGGGATTCAGACGAATGCTGGCGGTAAATGGAATGATGTGTGGGTGCTCAGTGATGACGGGGGGCTGACGCAGGCACGAACAGCGGTGCCGGTCCCCCGCGTGTCCACACGCACGCACACGCGTGTGCACACGCCTCCGCTGTCCCTCTGGCCGTCACGGACTTGCAGGAATGGGTGACAGGCAGTTCCCGTCTGCACGTGGGTGGCTGGCGCCCCGCACAGCGGACTCGGGGCTCCTCGTGGCTTACTGTCACCCCAGAGCCAGATTTCCGGAAAAACTCTACGAGGCAGCGATGGTGCAGGGACACGGCCGCGCGGTCCGGGGTCCCGAGCACGTCTCCTCGGTCATCCATCTGCGAAACGGGGTTCCCCGGGCCCTCCTCACAGGTGCCGGGGACGGTCAGACGGGGCAGTGGACGTGGGCGCGCCAGGCGCTCATTGCCCCAGTACATACAGATGCCTGGGGACGATAACAAAGGACAAATACGAATGAAAATGCCGAAGATGAAGAGAGTGGTGGCTCATGGAGGACGGCGAAGCCGAAATTCAAACAGATTTCAACAGATTTCGAACGGCGGGGAAACGTGACTCCTGAGACACGGAATCAAGACAGACCAGAGTCCCGGCTCAGGCTGAAAAACGGGCCGGGCGAAGGTGGGGCGCGGGGCGGGCGAGGGCGGGGCGCAGGGGCAGGGATGGAAAGTCCCCTGGGCCAGTGAGGCTGGCGGTGACGGTGACGCAGAAGGTAAAGCTGCCTCGGGTGGCCTTGCTGGTGTCACCACGACCTTTTTGCTGTTGTTTGTTTGTTTGTTTGTTACGCTGACAGCACCTGCTCTTCCTAGGTGGCCTCCCATCCAAGTGTTAACCAGGCCCGACCCTGCTTAGCTTCCACGATCAGACATCGGGCTTGTTCAGGGTGGCGTGGCCGTAGACCACGGACCATGGCTCGTGGGGCGCGAACCCAGGACTTCCTGCGTGTAAAGCGGACGTGCTCACCGCTGCACTATGGAGCCACGTCCCGCACTATAGCTGCTCTTCCTAGGTGGCCTCCCATCCAAGTGTTAACCAGGCCCGACCCTGCTTAGCTTCCACGATCAGACATCGGGCTTGTTCAGGGTGGCGTGGCCGTAGACCACGGACCATGGCTCGTGGGGCGCGAACCCAGGACCTTCTGCGTGTAAAGCGGACGTGCTCACCGCTACACTATGGAGCCACATCCCGCACTATAAAGCCACGTCCAGGTGTCATTACGACACGACTGCAGAGCTGGACTGTCTCCGTGGGGTTTACATGCATCGCCCCGTTCACTAGAGTATAATCGGATGGAGGGAAGCATTCGCTCCCGTGAAATCTGAGTTGGGGAACACCTGGGTGTTTCGTCCATTTCCGGTCACCAGGTGTAAGAGGGCTGTGAGCAAGCGTCCTGGAGGACGGCCGGGTGCTGTGTAGCCGCAGGAACAGAGGCCTGGCTCGGCGCTGGCCGCGGGAGCTTCAGCAAGTGTCTTACCCTCTCCAGCAGAGCCTCGGTCTCCTCGGCCACCGAGCGGGCGTGGCCGCTCCTGCCCTCCAGGGCCGTCTGGCATGTCAGCCCAGAGGGGAGCCCACCACGTGCCATCAGGCACACAACCCTCTCAGCCACCCCGCGGAGGCCGCACTGCGGGTCTGCCGTCATCGTCCCACGTCAGTTCCCTTCTGATCCCGCATCTTCACACCCTGGGCCACATCCCCCTCCTCCGCCCCCCACAGGATGAGCTGGGGGGAGCTCGGCCTGGGCAGGCCACACAGAGCAGCCGC